CGCGGGCCTCTCACTGTTGTGGCCTCTCCCGTTGCGGAGCACAGCCTCCGGACGCGCAGGCTCAGCGGCCATGGCTCACGGGCCCAGCCGCTCCGTGGCATGTGGGATCTTCCCGGACCGGGGCACGAACCCGTGTCCCCTGCATCGGCAGGCGGACGCTCAACCACTGCGCCACCAGGGAAGCCCCGGATTTTTAAAAAACACATTCAAAGCTGAACACAATCCTCCTCAACCACTTCCATGTTCCTTCTCTAGGCTTCCCCCTCTTGGTAAATGGAACCATCATCTTCTAGTTGCTTTAGTCAGAAATGTTGATCTTTCTTGATGCCTTCTTCTTCTTCACTCTCCTCATCTAATTCATCACACCATCGAGTTGATTCTAACACCAAAATGCATTTCCAATCAGCACCATCAGATCTTCCCACTGCAATACCGCAAGGACCTCTTGATTGACTTCCCTTCCTTCCAACACTGCTGGAATAGTCCCAGCGGTCCACAGTCCACGATGGTCCATTTGTCACAAAGATCATGCGGTTGACTTGTTCAGACCATTCAGTGGATCCCTCTGGGCTCGAATAAGAGCTGAACTCCTCACTTTGCATGACCCGGCCGTGCTCACCTCTATTATCTCATCTTGTCTCACTCTCCCCCCTGCTCACTACCTTCTAGGTACACTGGTCTCCTTTTGTTTCTTAATAAACACACCAAGGTCTTCTTTCCCCGAGGCTCTTGCGGGTACTGTCCTTCTTTCTCTCTGCAACGTTACCTAGTCAACTCCGTGGAGAGGCTCTCTGGGCAACCAGTCAACAGTGCGCTCACCAGCCGACACACTTCCGGGCAGAGAACAGGCGCCTAATAACATCACTGAATGAAAGAAATGAGCCACCTAACTTGAAATAACGGATATGCTTCACGAAAGAAATTGAGGCCAAGTGTAAAAAAGTTCATAGCCACTCAAAAATCAAGTAAAGCAGAAAAATGTTTAGAGCTACACTACCTTTTTTACCTTGGGCCAGTACCACTGTATCTTGCATCTTCTTGTACCTGTTCAGGCACTGTCGAAGATCTTCTATTTTCCGATCCTATTAGTAAAATCAATTATCATCTTTAATATTATGATTTTAAGACAACAAGAGTAATTGTGACACAAAGAATAAGTAGACATGAATTATTTACATTATTCAAAGAATACTTCTAAACTTTAGTAGAACTGGTAATGTTCAGGATATTTTGCCTACATACGTCAGAGACATAGAAAAAGTACCTCTAAATTTAGAGATCCTATCCTTCAGCTGCCATCTTTAAAAAACAAAAACAAAACAAGGTAATAAGATACAAAACAAAACAAAAAAAAAACAAGAAAAAAATCAACTTCCTTTACTCTCTTAAGTCAGAGCTTGAAAGAAAGGTCTACACCTGCTATCTTTACCAGCTGCCATTAATCACCATTTGGCTTCTCCCTTCTCCAAACACTCCACCAAAGCTGCTTCAATTACTGATCAGTGACCTTCTCTTTACTAAAAACAATGGACACTTTTCATCCTTTTTCTAATTTGACTTCTAGATGGCACTTGATTGACCCCCACTCTTTCCTTCTTTCACTTTTCTCTCCACTCTTTCTTTTCTTCTGTTTTGATTTGTTAATTCCTTGACCAGATAAACATTCTACTTCCATAACCCCCACTATCTTCCCAACCCAGAATATAAAATGTTAGAGCTTCAACATGTTGTCCTTTACCCTCTTCTCTCCTCCCAGGCCCTCAGTGTGGTAAATTATAAAAATGGGCTCCCTAGCTTCCCCGACATGGATTTGGGGCATGGCCATGTGACTTGCTTTGGCCAATGATATATAACAAATGTGCTTCAGAGCAAAGGCTTGAAAAGTATTGGCACATTGGGACTTGCCCTCTCTTGCTGCCCTAGGGAACCCTGAGGCCACTACATGAAGAAGCATAGGCTAGTCTACTGGAGGATGAGAGACCATTTGGAGAAGAGACAACCCAGCTGGGGTCAACCTAGACCAGTCAGTCACCAGACGTGTGAGTTACACCATCTTAAACCATCCAGCCCCATTCCAGCCACCAGCTAATGGTAGAGACCAGCAAAGCCAGCCCAGACTAGAAGAGCAATCTAGCCCACCTACAAAAGTATGAGAAATAATAAATGTGATTTATCATGGAGCAAAAGCAAACTGACACATGAACTGTAGTTTTGTCCCCACCAATCTATATATTTCAACTCTACATTTCTCCTAAAATTGATGGGGTTCACTCCCCACCAATCTATAATCCTACATTAATCCTAAAATTTAGATTGATTTTCCAATTTTCTATGAGATATCTCCTTGTAATGTCCCATGAACACATCAAATTGAGTACATCTAAAATGAAGCTCATTATTTGCCTCCAGTATCTCGGTCTCTGCTTGGATTCCCTTATCTCTTTTATGGGCACCATCATTCACCCCACTGCTCAAACCAGAAACTTACTCCCAAATCCAAAGATTTAAAAATCTTGTCGACCTGTGAATTTCTCTAAAATCCCTTCCTTCCTTACCACTTCACTGCCATTGCCTCATTTCAGCCCGTCTTCATTTCTCAGCTATTTTAACAGCCTCTTAATTCTTTTGTCTTCATTCTCCCTCCCTTATTCTTGCTTCCATTCTGTCACTGGAGTTAGCTTTCTAACATGGCAATTTAATTATCTCACTGTCCAAGGTCTAAAGCTGAGAACCCAAATCATTACATCATTAGCCTCGCCATAGCACTCTCTCATATACCCAACTCCTCCACCTGTATCTCCTGCTCCAGAACTTTCCCAGCACGCACTGGCCGTTTCAAGCCTTGGTTTTGAGACATGTTTTCACTCATGGATCCTTTGCCCAGAATCCTTCATTTTCCTGATGAATGACTCTTTGCTCTCCCTCAGAATTTGCCCAAATATGTCCTCTTTGAAGACTTCTTGGAACCACCAAGAAGTTATGTCACTCTCGCTGCTCCTAGAGAAGTTTGAGCATCTAGTAAGCCCTCATTCAACATTGGGAGTTTCATTTGTTATTGTTGCTTTTTGAGGGAGAGAAATTAAAACCAAATGAATTTTAGTGATTTTTTTTCAAATTAAATCTATGTGGGGCAGCTTGCTAATGACTTTTTTTTTGATGTGGGGAAGACTAGCAAAAAGAAACCTATATATGGGTAGGTGGGTAGGAGAAAGAGTTTATTTCCATTGAATAAAGAACAAAAAGAATGAAAGGCAATAAATAAATAAATAAACAAACAGAGTAGGCAAGAAAGAAATAGAGAAAGAAGCTTATGATGAGAGAAAAAGATCAAGATAAAGTTCTTTGGCATTTGCTTGGTTTTTATTTCCTTGAAATTACTCTTTTCATGGGAAAATGTCTCCTCGTTCTATTCATTAAAGGACACGAGGGGAGAGCAGTTCTGATGACAGGAGCTGAACCTGCCTGCTGGGTATATGGCTGGTCAGGGAAGCCAAGAAGAAGCATGTTTCCTTAGTAGGGTCCCTGCATCCCTGCTCTTAGCAGGATGAAGTAAGGAGAAGCAACAGCTGGAGGAAAGGCCCTCTTGGAGACCTTGGCATTAGGTGAGCATAGCTAAAACAAAGCCGAGTGCCATCCTTGATTACATGGTGCCTGTGCTTGTTTCCTGGTATCTCACCATCAGGAGAGCAGAGATAATAATCCCAGATGTGAAAGAGGCCAGGAGTGTGAAGGAAATAACATGTTCCTAGAGAAGAAAATCAACATGATCATGAAGCTAAAGTTGCCATGGCTGCCTCCTTCAGAGTTCATAGGGCAGTCCAGAATTTCCAGGGACCACAGAAAGGATGTACTATGGCCTGTATCCTTTGTCTCATTTGTCACCTGAATATAAAGAGCTGATCTGATAACCTGAACATTTTCTAAATTCAGGGCGGTGGGCGGGAGGGGTAGATTCTCAGTGGAGCCAGTGCTGCTGGTCTCCATTCCTGTCTGTGCAGCACAAGTACGTCTATGACCCGCCCCCCGAGAGCAGGCCCACTTGGGCAGGAAGGGAGAATGCTTGCCTCTTAATGTCAGCTGTGTTTAGGCGATGTTCTTTCAAACTGGGATATCTGATGAGAATGCATGGAATGATCAAAATGATGTTATTACACGTCCAAATAAACACTTAAATTTCATCTAGTTACCTTTTCTTCATTTGCTGCCATCAAAGACTCCACAGCCTTTTTCATTTTTTGTACTTCAATATCTGGAATATCACAACAGCAAATCAGAAGTCTGTTTAGTTAACTTGTGTGACAAGAACAAGAAGCTACTGACTCTTCATATTGAAATGTTGCAAGGTAAAGATGTTAATAATTTGTTCCACTTTCTTTTTTTTTTTTTAAAAGGCACATTTACCATTCATATTCTCTTTTAGGGAAAGCCTGAAAAATGAACACTTTCTAACTCACCTTAATAGTCATCATTCCAGAAAGAAAACAACTACCCTCTCTCAAAGCAAGAACGAAATCCTCATAAGAACACTGAAGATGAAATTTCAGTGCTATAACAATAAAAATACAGAGCTTTCAAAGAAGAAACTTATAAAGCAGGTGAAAGCAATGAATGGTGTATATATGACAAAAGCAGAGAAAATGATGTTCGGTTATAACCAAGATGGAGACACAAATGGTAAGAGCCTGAAGGAACGTGATATTTACATGAGTATCATGCTAAAGCAGCTGGCTGTAGGTTCCATACAGAAGGATAACAAGTACTTTGCTTCATCTATAAACCTCATTTCCAGTACTATTTTAAAACGTTTTTAAACAATGCTATTTTAAAAGGCCAAAGTAAGTGATTCTCCTTAAAATGTGACATTCAAATACAAAAGCATGTTACTTTAGTAATAAAAAAACAAACATTTTAAATATGGAAAGTCAACCCAAAATGAAATCACAAATTAAAAAAATTGAAACAGAGGAAAATGTTCAGCTAAGGTTGTCTGCTTTTGAGGACAAAAAAATACTACTGAAGGTAAATTTTAAAACAGTGGTGCATCATTCACCTCTGATACAATACTTTCAATTAAGGTATACTGTTTAGGAACTGCTTTTCTTCTTCTTCTTTTTTTTAATGGCAAATTCCCTTAAGAACTTAACGTCTGGAGGCAAGTCCACTAAGGCTTTATCGATTACACTGCATTAACTCTAGTCTCTGTTAGTCAGCCTGGGTACAATTTATTTTGTAACACAAGAGGATATGTTTATAGAAGCCCTTAATATAGATCTCAGTGAAAAAGTGGGCTACAAAACATTGGAAAACAAAAGCAAAGTTCAAAATAATCTTCAACTGTGGTAAACCGTAAAAACAGTAGGTTTTCATAGGAGTATAAACATTATTTTCTCCTCTGACCCTGTATCTCCTGGCCCATGGAGAAAACGCTTCCTCACCTCCACCACTCTGGGTGCTCTGCTATATCCTGCAGAGCAAAAGGGCTGAACCAGGAGCAATAAGCAAAACGGTCTTTTACTCCTTGTTTTATTGTTTGTTTATTTGCCCTCTATTTTGTATACTCTGAAGAAATGGGGAGCTTATTGATGAAGCAATTTTACATCTTTGGGGAGAGAAATGTTTTAAAAACACATGCAAAGAACAGTCCAAGTAGTACTTTTGGTGAATGTAAAGGCTGATGGAAATACACCAAAAACCTTACTTTTGTCTTTGAGCTTCTTTTTAAAATTTTCATCTGTGCAGGAAAACCCATCGAATTGGAAGTTAGCATACATTAAAACAATAAGTAATATTTTAAAAGCACTATTATTTGGTCTCCTTTTACCTAAAATAAAGAGACTCTAACCTCATAAAGACTGAATATTAAGCATTATTTTATGACTTTAGGACTGATACTACAATATAACATGCCCTCTGTGAGGTTAGAAAGAGAACCTAATGTAGTTAATCAGAAGATGTAAATCTGAGTTACTACCTCTGTTACTTCATCTTTCTGAACCTTGATTTTCTTGTATTAAAATTGGGCCTTTGGAGTATAAGTGCTTCTTACACTAACTGTGATGAAGAACCAGCTAATGTTGCATTGGTTGTTTTTTACATTTTCATTACAGTCTGATATGTGACCCTCCTGAATGTGATTAGGACATTGCTTACGTCATATTCATCTCACTGCTCAAGTTCAACAACACTGAAGTGGTCCATCTCCTGTTCACCAAGATGAGTCCACTGATCACGCAGGTAGATGTTATGGCAACATCAGATTCCACGAAGTTTCTAAGCACTTGCTCTTAGTGCCTGGGTGTGTACTGCTGACAAGTGGTGCACAGACCGCTGCTAGTCCTCAGATCCGACTTTGGGTAGCATTACTCTAGCATAGCCAACATAGCTTCTAGCCCACATAGCCTCTATGATTCCATTTTTTTCCTTAGAATCTTGAAAGCATGACCTGTCTGTGAGTGTCCTTGAAGAGCATACATTCTACACATGCCAAAAAGGAGGGGAAAAATCCATTTCCCTCAATGTTGGCTGAATTGAGTTTTCTGATGGACAGGGGATTGTGATACCTACAGGTAAATAAAGCCAGGGTATTCTAGAGCCAAGAAGACTTTGGAGGTAATCTAATTCAAGCCCCTCATTGCACAGACAATAATAGATAAAATAGACAAAATAGATAAAGCAATAGATAAAAATGTACCAAATCTACACTAACTGGAATTTGTTCTGTTTTGAATGAGTCAGAAGTTGCTTTTGCCATACCATTTGTTATAAGAAAGAAAGGTTAAATTTGACCGAGGGTTGTCAGATGTTACAGGCATATATACTTCCAAATATAATATTTTAAAAACCCACATTTCATTCAAGTTATTTTCTAGCGGGTATAACCTACATTATGAAAAATTACAGTCCATATGATGTCCAGGACAAACCTCCTCAATTTATGAAAACAATTTTTTGGATAAATTCATACAGTTTTCCCAAAACAGAATTAACCTATTTTGCTTTCTAGAAGGTTGAGGGCTCAATGCATGATAAGAAATGTTCATTAACTTTCCAAAGATACACAGCCTTCCCTCTCTCCTCTCAAAAAGGCAGGCAAGGTTCCTAAATGCCTTACTTTATGTTGTCTCAAGTTCAGTTCAGAGGGGAATAATCTTGGGACATAGTTTTAGTTCCTTTTAATCCTTTTTGACACTTCCTTGTATTGCAATTTGGACATTATGGGAATTTACCATGTAGTAATCTAAAATAAAGTCCCACTAAAGTACAGAGGTGCCCTTCTCCAGCTGCTCAAGAGGAAGTTAATAGATGCCCAAGCACAGTAAAGAGGCTTGGAGGAGTCCCTGCAGTCCTGGGCCCAGATGGCTTCTGCTACTCCTCTCTCTCTTAGATGCTAATGGTACACATCATCTAACATCAGTTTCTTTTATAGATCTTGGATGACTTTAACAAAATAAGAGAACAAATGTTAAATACATATTCTTACCTCGATCAAGAATTTCAATCCCTTCTCCTTTCATCTTGCAAACCAATTTTTCTTGTAGTCTTTTTACTTCAGATTCCTTCTCTTCCAGCTGTTCTTTTAGAGATGCCAGTTCCTCCTACAAATGATAAATTCATTTAAAAAGAGTAGATTATGACTAAAAGGGAATATTCAGAGAGTCTGTTAACTCTTAAGTCAATAATTAGTTTTTGTGAATGAAACAAAAAACTACAAGAATTTAGACGCAAACTTCAGAAATCAGACAGTGGCAATGATAAGCAGGAAGCAAGACAATTAATAAAAGTACAACTTATAATAATTATGGTATAATTATTTCAAGTTTCCTTGTGACCAAATTAAAAATAAATCTTTTAAAGTGTGATTAGGACTAGGGCAGCCCTAAGGTTTAAATCTTATGTTAGGTAAAAAATCTGACCAAGTTAATCAAGGAAGATAATTATTAGATGCTTAGTGTTATACAAGCAAAACAAAATGCAAATTGGAAAATAATATATTAGACTTGCTTGACATTTATTCAGCATTTCAAGATGGCACTCATGTTCCCTGGACAAGATAGAGCTTAATTAGTGGGTAAGGTAGCACGCGATGAACAACTTTAGCCAAATCACGGGACTAAACAATTCATCCTCATCACTAAGGTAAAAGAATAGAATCTCCTACGACAATGGAAAAAAAGAGATTTAGAAAACAGATTTTAAGTCTTTTTATTTTTTAAACTACACAACTATTTAAGACCCCAAATCCAATGTGCTATCTATTTACTAATGTTTGTTTCTGTTTCATTTTGGTAAAGAATTAGCTTTGACAAATTTAAGTTTTGCTGGCTGTATTTAACCCAGGAAATAAAGCCATGCAATGCTAATAAGTGCACCTGTATTTTTCTTTATACAGTTTCAGTCTCTAAAGATACATACTATGTTTGGTATTATGAGAAGATGTAGCTCTCCAATGGAGCTAAGAAGTTGGCCCTATAGTTTTTGTTTATGGTAGGAATGGACACCAAATACAAGGAATTTTCAGTAGCACTGGCAAGAAGTGCTGCCTGTTCTCACTGTGCTTCTAAGCAGTAACTTCTACTCACTGCCAGGACAGAGTTAACCCATGCACACATTTATCGCCAAGAAGGAAGAAAACAGTGTCTACTATTGATACCAGAATTCTTTCACAGCTGAATTGCTGCAATTATTTTACTATGCTTGAATCTCAGAGAGTCCAAGAGAGTGAGATTTAATTTATAAACGAATACTTTTATTTTACCTGCTTATTGTTTTTCACTATTTCATATGTTTCTGAAAACAATATTAGGGATTGTATTGGCCCTCTAATCAGCTTTAAACATATTTTTAAAGAACAGGTGACACACACACAAAATGAATGCACACACCACTAAAAACACCATCACAGCAAAACAACACAAGCCAGAAAGCAACAGGCCATGGACCCCATTACCCAAGGTCTACTACACCTTCAGGGACTCCCACTTTTGTTCCATCCGCTGCTTTTCATACTGCATCTGACCCACCTTGATTTTCATGCTAGAAAGTTTGGCCATTAAAGACTGGTAGAGAGACAGGAGGGAAAGAAAACTACAGATAGAAAAAGACAAGCTAAGTAACCAAGAAAACAGTATCAGTTTATAAAGGAGGTTAGATAATTAAGAGAAATGACAGGTTACGTTCTATCAGATTAGTTAAACCCTGATTCTTATTCAGAACAGTAGTGTTTAAATTCAAGATGGTCTCCTGCTTGGGGAAAAACTTCATTCCCTTGTAAAATGCCTTCTCTATCATATACTAAGTAGAAAATGTATTTTATTTATATTATTGATTGTAGATAGTGAGCCATTTATACAAAAATTTTTGCCATTGTGAGAACTTACTTTGGTAGATTTCAGCTTTTTTTCATTCTGAAGTTTTTCATTGTCCATTTCAGTGACTCTTAACCTCAAATCATTGATCTCCTGCATTAGCCCCTGTCCAAAAAGTGACAAGGAAATACATTAGGAAACCAGTAACACACTTATCTACCAAAATAGCAGCTTGGAAATCTTCAGTCAATAGCTCCTGAGTTAAAGCTGGATGAATGAGATCAGACAAATGAAAATGAATGTGTCTCCTTGAGAATTAAAGCATCTTTCCATTGAAAACATTGCCTCTGCCCTAAAATGATGCGATTGATTATGAAAATGAAAGGTGACGAAAATTTTAAGAAATGTAGCTGATCGCTTACTATCATTGAGCAAATATTTCTAGACTAAAAATCACTATATGAACTCTTATCTTTTAAAATAAACCAGAGAAATTTTCTTTAGTAAAGTCATTTACTTTTAGAGACTTTTCAGTGATATATGGATATTTACAAAAATACTTTAATAATTTCTTAACTTTTCTACAAAAAAACAGATTTTTCATTAGCCCAATCTTGGAGAATCAAATGAAATTTAAACACGTTAGGCCAAGGATTCACAACTTGAGGGCAGATGAGGGCCTTATCATTTACAAATATATTCAGTATCATAATAATTTTATATTTGGAAAATGAAAAAGAAAGCAATCCTAATGTTTTCATAATACAAATACAATCAGACAACTTTTCTACTTTTATTTTAAAAAAACTAATTTGTGGGTTTCCCTGGTGGCGCAGTGGTTGAGAGCCCGCCTGCCGATGCAGGGGACACGGGTTCGTGCCCCGGTCCGGGAAGATCCCACATGCCGCGGAGCGGCTGGGCCCGTGAGCCATGGCCGCTGAGCCTGCGCGTCCGGAGCCTGTGCTCCGCAACGGGAGAGGCCACAACAGTGAGAGGCCCGCATACCACAAAAAAAACCCAAACAAACAAAACTAATTTGCTTATAAAATTTTGTCTAAATATTCTGAGCAATAGTGACATATCTTTGTCCAGAGCCCAGGGAATAGGAAAAGGAAATTAGAATGTGAAACAATACCAACTCATCCAAAAGAAGGGCTCAAATACTCTGTGAAGACTTTTTTTTTTTTTTAACCACAAGGCATGAAAACCCCACCAATGGTTAACGTGTTTTTGTTCCTTCCTTTTCAAGACAGTTATTCCTGAGCCACAGATTCACAGATAGAAAAGAATTACACAAGAATGCTGTAAAAAACAAACAGAACAATGCAATAAGAAATAAAAGTTTTTTATTGAGGGATTATTCTAAGCTTCTAAGTGTAAGAATTCAATCTCACAGGGGCTAGAAAAAAGGATGCTGTTGTGAAATACACTTCTCAGAAAATCTACAAGCTTTTAAATTGTAGTTTCTTGTAAAAGGGGGAAAAGTACTACCTAGTATTATATAATAAGTACTTATTAATATTAATTATAATTACTATTAATACAATGTTTCAATAAGAGGATATCTATTTTCTCCTTTTATGAATGAGGTAAATAACTGACATCATTTAATAACATTTCAGTTGTGAGTCCTTATGTACAAGTTCAGAATTCAAGTTCAAGGAAAAGGTCAGTTTCTCCCATTTATTTATCTCCCGTTTATTAACCATCTTTGCATAATATGAATTCTTAGTAGCCTTCCTTAATCAATCTGGTCTTTCTTATATGTATTTTCCCACTTTCTTATTGGTAAAAAACAGCTTTGAATTCTATTGGATTGTTGTATTTTACCACTTCCTTTAGAAACAGTGGCAATTTGCAAAGAAGAAGAAACAAATGAAGAAAATAGAATTATAAATTGAGGTCATTTTTCTACTAAAAAAAACCTACCCAATCATGCTTTGTAGCAACACCATAAATATGAACATAAATTTCTAATCTGAAAGAAGCCCTATCTTCCCATGAAAAGTCAAGCTGGAAAATCTGGAAGTAGCTCCTTAACATGAGACTTTTAAAAATGTAATAGAAATTATTTCCAACTAACTTCTTATCAGAAGTTCAGTACTGTTTTAAAAAGAAAATCCCTGTTATCTTTTCCTTTTCAGAAAACTCTTCAGGGCTCCACAGAAACTCATTTCTGATATCTGTATTCTTACCACAAGGGGGCACCATTGAACGATGCCAAACATCTATCAGCAATTCCTGGGACAGGCAAGCCCTCAATCTTCCAAAGTTTCAAGACTCTTACCCCCAGTCTTTTGGAAGTATCTATACTTCTTCCCCCACTCCAATGTTTTCTTAGAAATTCATCTCCAAATAATCTAAAATTCTAAGACAATGAGCATTCTATGCTCATTCTAAGAAAATGAGCATATTCAATCTTAATTTTTTTAGTTTTAATTTTGAAGACTACTTTATTTTCATGTTTAACAAAGTTTATCATATATCCCATAATCTCTGAGTATGCGCATGCTACATTTTAACAACAGTGTTGAATGTTTATTAGAAAATTATCAGGGATTACTACAGGTTTGATAACAAGATCACCTTGCATATGATTGAGAGAATGCACGAGCAAAGCAAGGAAACGCCAAAAAAAGGATTTATAAAAAATGCAGACAAACTCAAGAGATGTAAATATTGCTCTGGGGTCTTACAAAAAAAAAATCCTAAAACAGCTACTTCAATTTAGTCCCAATATTTGGTTAACATCTCATATCCAAATTAACCACACTTGTGCCGGTTAAGACTTTCCCTAAACTTTGTGTGTATAATAAGGCCACCTCTTAATGCCCCAAAACTATAAACTTCTTTCCTGACACCAGAGTTAGCTCCACTGCTATGTTATCCATCTGTTGACTGAATTCTACCAATGTGTTCTGTAGCAGCTGTGGAGTCAGGGAAAGACAGAAGGGAAAAGAGGAAATACCCAAACAGATTTTTAAAGAAAGCACAAAAGCTAGAATTTTAATGAAAGTAGGTAACTTCCTAAGTTTTGTTTTAAAAGCCCCAGTCTCAATTAAATGAAAAACATACTTATATAGGTGACTGACAAAGAGCTTTAAGATTAAAACATGAGCTAAGCTGGGGATTTCCTTTTGTTACTGAGCAAGTAATACACATACCAAGACTTTCCATTATAGTTACATCTTCGACAGAAAATTTAATTTTAAGAATAGCAGTGGAGTAAACCTTATTACATTCAGCTCAAGGAAGGACTTTCACACAGTGGATAACATATGTGGATAATATATATCATATCATGATGGCATGTAGTGAGCATAAAACAAATATTTGAAATGAAGACAGAGGGGGAAAGTAAGTAAATGATTTCTCCTCTCTCCTTCTTGGTACCCATTTTTCTAATTCAGTATGACACCTCTCCATACCCCAACTGAGGAAACAAAATAAAGAGAAAGGAAGAGATGTCCCTAGGAGAGAAAAAATTTCTACAGTTCTTTATACTTATTTTCAAATGAATAGATTTCATTTGGATATGCTCTGAACTCCCCCCTTGACAAAAAAGCAATTAACAAATTAGAAAACCTGGATTAACAATAAACTAGGTCAAACAAACAAGAAAGCATGTTTAGCCAGGAAAATGGGTATTTCATGTTGTAGAATCTACCCTGAATTTCACAAAAGTATACTGAGCTGTATTTATTTGGAATGATTTACATGTGGATTAGACCAAAAGTAGAAGGCCAAATTAAACGACCTCTAAAAATCTGCGATTTTTATGATTGCGTAATGAAAGCATGTTTGCCACACACATTTAAAAATCTACTTACTATAGAGTAAGTAATCAGTGTGCTTAAATAAGAACTACTAGTAAAATCATGCACTTGAACCCATTATTTCCACAATGAAGAGAATCAGTATGGATGAACAGATGGACAGATGGATGCATGGATGGCTAGAATAGATAGACAGAAGCTCCAAATGTCTGAAAGTCAAAAGTATTTCTAAAGGCAAGTGAAAGGATTAATATTTCATATCAAAAGTCTCAAAATAGGGCTTCCCTGGTGGCGCAGTGGTTGAGAGTCCGCCTGCCGATGCAGGGGACGCGGGTTCGTGCCCCGGTCCGGGAAGATCCCACATGCTGCGGAGCGGCTGGGCCCGTGAGCCATGGCCGCTGAGCCTGCGTGTCCGGAGCCTGTGTTCCGCAACGGGAGAGGCTACGGCAGTGAGAGGCCCGCGTACCGCAAAAAAAAAAAAAAAAAAGTCTCAAAATGTAAATTACCACTATCATTTAGTGATAAAAAGTCAGTGTAAGTTTATTCTTAAAAAGAAGCATGGATAATGAGGGAACATAGTAATTAACTGCCTCTCCTTCACAACTCCAAGGAATTTCAACTTGTTCTAGGAATACGTGTGTGCGAGATATATAAGTATGCATATATATGTGCATAGATACGTATATGTATATAAAGAGAGAGGAAGGGTATCACTTACTTCTGTGTCTCTGAATCTATCTTCGTAATCCAATCTGTCCTTCTCTACAGCTGTCAGTTTTAACTTCAAGTTAGATATTTCAGCCATCAGGTCCAACTTCTGAGTTTCTAAGGATGTCCTGCTCAGAAGCTCCTATTAGAATTTAAGAGATACATCCAAAAGTTGTTTTATTGTAAACAGCCACATATGGATGTGTCTCACTTATGACTGCAAAGCAGTAACTCTTAAGTAGAGGATGTGAAGATTAATTACTAAATAGATACATTTGGAAAAAATCATTTGCTTTAGTTACCCTTCAAAGAGCCGAACTAACGCTCAATAAGCATTATATTGATACACACATATATAAAAGTATATATTCTTAAGCCTGATGGTAACACTGATGATGCTATTATGTTTGCTATGTGCCAGGCACTGTTCTTACAGGTATTCAGTGGTTCAGTCCTCAAAACAACCTTATGAGATAGAAACTCATAGGATAATTCATGAATTATTCTTATTCAACAGACGAGGAAGCTAAGGAACAGAGAGGTTAAGAACTTGCAGAAGGTCATACAGCAAGGAAATGGCAAAGCAGAGACTCAGCCTTAACAGTCTCACTCCAGTGTGTATTCTACCTGCTGTATTATAGGCCCTCTCACAGACGAGCACCATATGTGTGTGCACCCACATACATTATAAAATTTTTCCAATAAGTCATATAAGGTACTTATCTTTTTTCTTAATCATAAAATATACATTCATGGTTGGAAATTAGGAAACCATATGAAAGCATAAAGGAGACATTTAAAATTATCTACAATCCTATTAATATTCTATTCCAGACTCTAATTGCAGTGAACACTTTCTACTGTGTGTATGTGTTTAGAGACCTGCTACTCTAGGTTTTTTGCTTAAAATAAGCCAGGGGACTTCCCTGGTGGTCCAGTGGTTAAGACTCCACGCTTCCACTGCAGGGGGCGTGGGTTTGATCCCTGGTCGGGGAACTAAGATCCCACATGCCGAGCAGCACAGCCAAAAAGAAAAAAAGTAAAATAAACCAGGCTAAGTGAATCACGAAATTCACCACTGCATCAGAGCAAACACAACATATAAATGTAGCATCTCAAATAGGCCAGCAGAAAAACCCCACCTCGGTACCGGCTTCTGAACATACCTGTTGCAGCATTTCTTCTGTGGCATTCAACTTCTCTCTGTGCTCTTCAAGGCAAAACTCCAAATCGCGAATCTTTTCTCCCTGAGCCTCTACCTGGTCTGTTAACACACTTACCTGTATTTAAAGCAAAATATTTAATGGATTAGGAAGAACTTGGGTCCCACTGCCAACTTTATTTCTCTATATAAAACAAAAACTGGGATGATGTTACCACTCATTTGGCTGTAAAAAAAAAGAAATCTGAGAATTAATAAGAAACCAGACCTTCACACTCTTATTTATGCGATGCTTATTGGTCTGAGGACTCTTATTCAATTTTCAAGGAAGTTAGGGCTGATTGGGGATGTGCAACATTTTATAGAGAAAGAGCATATACAGAAATTATCTTTTTTGAGGGATGGTGGGGGTAGGAGGTGGTATTAGAGATTAAGAGAGGAAATGAAGTTAATGTTTGAAAGAGAAGTTATCAAGGACTACTTAAATCTGACGCTTGACAAACAAAGAGTCCAGGGAATCCAACCTCCATGAGATCTTTCATGATCACACCGTCCACGGATGTGTTCGAAAGCCAGGGTGTAGCTCAGAGGTGCAAGAGGAGCCACTGGCTTAGTCTTTCATCCTCAGTGCTTATTGCAAACCTGAGTTTTCCTCCCAACGATCACCAGCCTCGTAAATATGTTTCAGTTCTTTTAGCTCAACATACCAAAGTAAAACTACGTGCCAAGGATTTAAAGGATTATGAAGGAGAGGAAAACTCTGATTTAGCCTACAAACAGGACTCCACTACCCACTTTGTGTTTTGTTTGGTCCATGGTATCATTTTTAAAATTGAAAAATTAAATATATATTCAGTTTCAGAAATACTTATTCATATTTATGGAATAGATGTATGAATATATAGACACACATATATAGTATAAAAATCAGAATTTCTGTTATATATTAAAAAAGAAACAGATCACATCAGAAAATCAGATGACACTGTGCCTGTCATCAGACTGGCCCTTGAAGAGCAGAGGCTGAGAAGTGTCGTTCACATGTATGCTTGTTCTGCCACAGTCCTCACCGCTCCTGAACGTGTACAGATGGCCTACTGCGCTTACTTCTATTAGCAGTCTGGCTCCTGTGAGCATCTGAACTTGCCATCCCAATTTAAAATGGTCTTTGTAAGTTAAGTCATGAGGGAAAAACAGCATTTAAAAATCACTTGCCTGAAGAACGAGAGATTCTTTATCATTTTCTAAACGTGCCAGCCTTTCTTGATACACATCTCCATTCCCAGGGAGGTGTCCATTTGTCTGAAAAAGGAAGTGATATGGGTAAGCCTGACCCTCTTTAAAACTGAACTACTGTGAGGGACTTCCCTGGTGGCGCAGTGGTTAAGACTCACGCTCTCAATGCCAGGGGCCCGCGTTCAATCCCTGGCCAGGGAACTAGATCCCACATGCATGCTGCAACTAAGAGTCCACATGCCACAACTAAGGAGCCGGCTAGCCGCAACTAAGGAGCCTGCCTGCCTCAACTAAAGACCTGGCGCTACCAAAAAAAAAAAGGAGAGTAAAAATTGAACTACTGTGGGTAAATAAAAATTGCATATGTTTTTAATCCAAGGAACCTGAATTGAATTCAGCGCAGCTGTTACTGCCCTTAATAGAAAATATGAGAAGGAAACATGGTTCATATACAAAGCAACAAGAACAAAAAACAACTCATCAAGAAGAAAATAATGACCCAAAAGGAACAGTGGCTACTGATAGTCACTGACAGTGGATGCCCACCTGGGCACGCAAAGCTTTGTGAGCGTGTGGTCGGGCACAAAATCGCTCTTTCCCCCTGAATGCCTCTATCAGCGGGAATGACCTGGGAGGTCCTTCCATTCCTGCCCTCTCCTCCCAAATCCAGGACTACCAATGCCCGCCTTTACACGGGAGACAGCAGGGGCAACTTACACCACCGGCCTCTTCCTGCTACTCAAGTCTTCAAATCACAGGACAAATCTTCCCTTCCCCCTTTGGCTCACGGGCGCAGCCGCTCCGCGGCATGTGGGATCTTCCCGGACCGGGGCACGAACCCACGTCCCCTACATCGGCAGGCGGACTCTCAACCACTGCGCCACCAGGGAAGCCTTTCCCTTCCCCCCCTTTGAAGCCTTTCTCTTTTCCCCCAAGAGCTTAAGCACTGAGTCCACAATGACCTCCCCTTGCAGCACGGACTAGCCATGCTCATCGGTGATTTACCACATTCCCTTCTGAATCTATTAACTTCTCGTGGGTTTGCTTGTTCACCTACTGTTTGCTAAGCTTCCAGGCAGAGCCTGCAAACTGGTATCATCTGGTAACCTCCACAGCATCCAGCCCAGTGCTCTACTTAGACTAGTGCTTACTCTTTTTTCTCCTCCCTTCTGCCCCCTTTTTATCAGATTTGGGCATATTTATGGATGGCACAAATGCCAAAGGAAGTACAGACTGGGAAAGGAAGTGTAGATTTTTTCCCTCGGCCGTCTTGTATTGCAATATATACAAGTGATTAAGGAGACAGATTGAAAAGGCTCACAGAGTGCAGACAACATAAGAATGTCGTTCTGAAATAGAGTAGTGTATGTGCTGTGTCTCTTGGTATCTCATTGAAATAGTTCCTAATCACATAGTGTGTAATCCAATAGAATTTCCTGATCCCTCATTCAAACACAACAGACATAAAAGCCAGTGGAGTCCAAAATGGTTAGATGGGGCCACCCAGAGTTCAACTGAAAAAGCAAATAAACAACCTCAGACTTCAAGAAAATACACGCTGTACATGCTCACTGCCCAGAACACGACTGATGTGACAGCAATTATTTTTCCAGAATTAAGAGTTTTATCACTCTGCCTTTCCAATTAATGTATTTTTAAAGTATAAATTCTGAGAATAACAAAAGTTATGTGTTGGGAAGGAAACAAAAACAAACAAAAATGGAGCTTCAACAAAAAAGAAAATTGCAGGATGTTTCTTCTCAAAACATCGGTGCACTTGGATGTATTTCCCATGAGGCCACAAGAGAATCTGAAACTAATTTAGTTAAGCATGCACTGTGTGGATAAAATTTTTAACATCACCTGCTTGACCACACATACCTGCACAATTATCACAGCATAATTCTATTTATGTTGTAAACTGAAGTGCCCAGAATTAAATTACAAGTATTAGGAGGAGTCTGACGGAGTGGCCGGGATGACTTCCATCCCTGGGGACTACCAGGAAAATGAAATTTATGTTAACTTCTTGAGGACAGTTTTTTGGAAAAGAGCCAGGATGTGTAACGCACGTTCTCGATCTAAGAAAGTGCTGAGACCGGCCCTGCACAGCTTTAAATTCCTCATATTGATTATGAACATTAGCAGGCATCTGCTTTTAAAACTACATAAGCAACGTTTTATAAACATCCATTTCATTGGGTAGAAAAAAAAAGCTTTCTGCTCAGTGAAGACATAAAACAAAAATCCTCTTTCTCCTGACTGAAGGAAATTAGAGCAAGGTTAGAAGTGTTTCTAGGGCAAGTTCTAGAAGGGTTTCACGAAACCACTGCCTATGATATGGAAATAAGTTGTTTCAAAACCAGTTCTACAAAAGTATCCATTTAAAAATACTAAAAATTGACCACAATGAGCATACTCACGTTTCTTAACACTGTACTGATATTTACAAGCACTCATAACACTCAAGAGTAGTTTATTTTTAAACACTAAAATCACTATAGGTACATAAAGCAAAAGAGCCACTACTGGAATGGTTACATGCTTTCAAAGCACTGTGTTGACTTACTCAAGCAGGTAAAGGTCTATTCTATTCACGTTTATTTGTTTCTGCTAATTTTGTTACCTTTGCCTAAAAAATGTTAGCAAGAGGCAAATTCCATTAGGCAAATACCCTACCACCCCTATTCTTCCTCCGTCTCCTGTGCTCTACCCCCCAGACCACCCCAAGCCTCCCCAAACCAGGTATGCTCTCTCACACACCAATTCTATTCCCTCTGCATGGACTGTATTTCCTACCCTTTCCTCCTTGTTCCTCATTCCTTAAGGTCCACCTCAAATGGGGCTTGGTCTGGAAAGTCTTCCTTGAATTGCCTGTTCACTTATATGCCAGTTACAGCATCCAGATGACCCTTCACTACAGCAGGAATCACACTGAAAGGACTAGGCTAGACTTGGCTACCTATGCATCTCTCTCTTCCAACAGACTCTGCATTCTTTGTCGGTTCCTCTTTCCATCTGACGTGCAGTGAAGGACTGCAGCTAACTGACTGCTGAATGAAGGAACAATGATAGGTGTTCAGTAAACATCAGACGAATAAAAGATGAATGAATGGTTCTATCCTGGCCTTCTTTCTTCTCAGTAAGACTTTTTTTTTTTTTTTTCCAGTATGCGGGCCTCTCACTGTTG